AAGACCATTGCACATCTTGATTACCCTTTGCCAGAATCTGTGTCTGGACAAGTTTTTCCCAGGCATATAGTTCAGAAGTCACCTTCATTCCACTTTTCCTATTATGTATATAATATGCTGCTGTTGCTGCTAAGTCACTTCAGTCGTGTCCGACTCTGTGCGACCCCTTAGATGGCAGCCCACCAGGCTCCCCTGTCCCTGGGATTCTCCAGGCAAGAACACTGGATTGGATTGCCATTTCCTTCTCCAATGCATGAAAGTGAAAAGTGAAAGTGAAGTCGCTCAGTCATGTCTGACTCTTAGAGAACCCATGGACTGCAGCCGACCAGGCTCCTCCGTCCATGGGATTTTCCAGGCAAGAGTACTGGAGTGGGGTGCCATTGCCTTCTCCAATGTATATAATATGGAGGAGCCCAAAGCCACTGTGGGGTCTAACCTCACACATCTGTTTCAAGAAGCCCAGACACACCAATTGCCTAAGGTTCTTGCTTCCCGGGAAACTTTAGGAGTGGGATTCAGAGATGGATTCTTTACTAAACAAGATGTACTGTAGGTCAGAATATGGCAGCAGAGGCAGACTCCAAAGCCCCGGTGAGTCCTGCCATCTTCTCATCCTCTTGGGAACTCAGGCTAAGTCCACAAAACCAGAGAACTAGATTGCTAAGACCTCAAAGACATACTATAGTAGGAAAAACAAAATAGACACAATGCACAAAAAGGCAACGTACCCCATGGGTGTGAAGCTGTGTGAAAGTCGCTCAGTTGTGTCTGACTATTTGCAACCCCATACAGTCCATGGAATTCTCCAGGCCAGAATACTGGAGTGGGTAGCCTTTCCCTTCTCCAGGGGATCTTCCCAACCCAGGGATCGAAACGAGGTCTCCTGCATTGCAGGCAGATTCTTTACCAGCTGAGCCACCAGGGAAGCCTGGCTAAAGCTGTAGGGACACCAGTTAGCACTGGAGGTGGGGCTGATCATAGCATCCTTCACTGAGGTTATAGTGCCTATTGGTGATGCTTTCAACAGAAGAGGTCATGGTGGTGGTAAAATAGGAAACAGAATTGAGCCTGGGTATGACTGGCAGCGGGGCTTCCTTGATGGCTCAGTGGTGAAGAATCTGCCTGCAATGCAGGAGCTGCAGGAGCTGGGGTTTGGATCCCTGGGTCAGGAAGATTTCCTTGGAAGAGGGCATGGCAACCCACTCCAGTATTCTTGACCTGGAGTATCCCACGGACAGAGGAGCCTGGCAGGCTCCAGTACACAGGGTCACAAAGAGGTGGACACAGCTGAAGCGATTTAGCACAGCACAGCATGAGTGGCAGCAGCGTCAGGGGTTGGTGGCCAAGGTGGAGTACCTCCAGCAGCCACAGCGGAGCAGGGGCAGCGGTAGCAGCTTCAGGGATGGGCGCTTCAGTCATTCTAGAAAGACATCACGGCAGCGGAGTTAGAGAAGGCTCATACCAGCCAAAACCACAGGGGAGGGTAATCCAGACTAGTTGCGGAAGGTGTGGGGCTGAGTTGGACTGGAGCCAGCAGACGCAGCAGCGGTCAGGCTCTGTAAAGAGTAGGATAGACTGATAACAGCAGTGGGGCAGAGACAGGCTGCACGGAGATCCAAGAAGTCCATCCTAGAGGAAATCAGTCCTGAATATTCATTGGAAGGACTGATGCTGAAGATGAAGCTCCAATACTTTGGCCACCTGATGCGAAGAACTGACTCACTGGAAAAGACCCTGATGCTGGGAAAGATTGAAGGCAGGAGGAGAAGGGGACAACAGAGGATGAGATGGTTAGATGGCATCACTGACTCAGTGGACATGAGTCTGAAGCAAGCTCCGGGAGTTGGTGATGGACAGGGAAGCCTGGCGAGCTGCAGTCCATGGGGTCACAAAGAGTCGGACATGACTGAGTGACTGAACTGAACTGAACAGGCTTAGCAATGCTCTGAATTTAAAAAAATAAAACAAAAAGGGGACTTCCTTGGTAGTCCAGTAGTTAAGGATGCGCCTGCCAAATGCAGGGGACATGGGTTCAAGCCCTGGTCTGGGAAAATCCCATATGACACAGGGGAACTAAACCCATGTGCCACAACTACTGAAGCCCAAGCACCTCAATCCTGTGCTCCACAACAAGAACCACTGAGATTTGAAGTTCGCGCATCACAACTGGAGAGTCACTCCCACTCCCCACAACTAGAGAAAGCCCATGAGCAGCAATAAAGACACAGCACAGCCATAAATAAATAAATACATAACAGCAGGCAAACGTGCAGCCAGAACAGAGTCATCCTGGGTCAAACATAAAGACAGGAGCAGGTCCAGATGATGAGTTGCACAGAGTCCATGGTCAAAGAAGAAATACAGTGGGAAAGGGTGCAAGCTGGGACCCAGGTAGTTCAAAGGAAACATGATGATCTGTGGACCCTGCTGCTTTCATATTCAATGTCACCCACATGTAACCCACAGGTCTAGACTGTGCATCTGCTCTCTTAGTAATATTCAGACCCTCCTGAGAGAGGAGAGTCATTCAGCCTCTGAGGCTACAGAGGCTTATTGAGCTTCAGATTTCTAAGCAGGACAGATTGGTCTTTGACTGCTGAAGGTGGCGCTGGGCACAGGGTACCCTTTAAGAACAATTTTTAATAAGAAACACTTATAGTCTAGAAATATAGTGATGCTACTTCTAAAGGCATAGTAAGCCTAACTCCATGATATAAAAGCATTATTATATTAGAGCTGAATTTTATACCAACTAGCCTATCCACTTATTTCAACAGGTAGGTAAAAACTGAGTGTCAGGGAACTCAGTGAATTTCCTAATGTTATACAAAGTCCTCAGCCCTCCTAATTTGATGTTCTTTCTCCTCCAAATCTTATATTATATATCCTTTGCCAATAAATGTATTTTATTTAGACCAATCTTACAAACACTAGTGAAATGACTCGGAAACTCTCCCTGGACATTTGCTTTGACCTATATCCAAAGCATTTCTCCATTCACCCTCCAGTGTACAGAGGGAAACAGCCAGCCAGTTATGGTGGGAATAAATGAGAGAGGACAAGGGTCTGTCAAAAAAAAAAGGTACCCAGTGAGAACTTGCTGAATAATGTGTTTTGGGATGTCAGACTTGGAGAATTTGGTTTTTATTTGAATTCATAATTTGCTAGGAGAAAGGTAAGTGATACAAAGAAAGATAACACAAAGAGAGATGGAATTAAAAGAAATAGATGGTTCACATTCCCTTAGGGCACTGGCCAGAAAATAAAAGCCAGGTAGCATTCTGCCCCAGTAATTAGGCAGAATCACAGAATTACAGAATTATGGGCTTCCCTAGTAGCACAGATGGTAAAGCATCTGCCTGCAATGCAGGAGACCTGGGTTCGATTCTTGGGGTGGGAAGATACCCTGGAGAAGGAAATGTCAACCCACTCCAGTATTCTGGCCTGGAGAATCCCATGGACAGAGGAGCCTGGTGGGCTACAGCCCATGGGGTCACAAAGAGTCGGACACAACTAAGCGACTAAAACACACCCAGGATGCCCAGAAGGCAGTTGCTAATGGTGGCCAATCTCAGCTGCTCCCTGAAGAGCGAGGATAAGACGCTCAGTTAAGCTCTGCTGTTAGGCTGTGTCCTTCCCACTTCCCCATGAGGAAGGTGAGGGGTGTGCTTTCCAGCAGCCCTCACAGTGCAAGTTCCCCATCTCTAATACCCTACAGGGAAGATCTCTTCATCTCCTTGTGGTCCCCTCAAACTTAATACATCCAAACTCAGCTCTAACATTCTTTCTCCCAGATGAGCTCCCTCCCCTAGACCTCCAAATGCTGCCACTGATGGTAATAATTCTTCTAATCAACCTTATACTCTCCCTTGCCTTCTGCCTCTCCATCTATGTCCAGGTTCCACGACCTAATGCCTGGGCTGTCTCAGTGGTATCCTGATTGATTTCACCAGTGTTTCTTTCTTAAATTGTACAATTAGGTACACAGCATTCTCTACTAAAAAAAAAAAACAAAACAAAACATGGTATGACATGACTCCCCATGACTTGAAAACGCAGTTCAAACTCCTTATTTTTACTTTTAGATTCATTTACTATCATCTTTCCTGTTTACCTCTCCTCCTGCCAAACTTATTACTCAATCATTCTCACTTCTAGGCCAATATTCCCACTTTTCCACTTCAATTACATTACCAAGAGTCTCCCTCTTAATGATTTCCCTGGTGGTACAGTGGCTAAGACTTCTCACTCCCAACTAAAAGATCTTGCATGCTGTAATGAAGACTGAAGATCCTGGGTACCACAACTTAGACCTGACACTGACAAATAAGCAAATAAATATTAAAAAGAGAAATTTTCATACTGAGTGAAATTAGTCAGACAGAGAAAGATAATATCATTAAAGAAAAAGAATCTCCCTCTTAATCAATGAGATTAAGTGGGCAAAGGGCCCAATGTCCTTTACTTAATACACACTCAATAAATGTTAGCTCTGTTAAAAGACCACAGTTATTGCTCTTTCTTCAGGAAGCTTTTGCTCAGTAACCCAGCCCTACCCCCCTTATCTATATTTCCTATTTGACATTTAGCTTCTGCTTTATTGACTATGCCAAAGCCTTTGACTGTTTGGATTACAACAAACTGTGGAAAATTCTTAAAGAGATGGGAATACCAAACCACCTGACCTGCCTCTTGAGAAACCTGTATGCAGGTCAGGAAGCAACAGTTGGAACNCTGAAACTCCAATACTTTGGCCACCTGATGCAAAGAGCTGACTCATTGGAAAAGACCCTGATGCTGGGAAAGATTGAGGGCAGGAGGAGAAGGGGACGACAGAGGATGAGAAGGTTGGATGGTATCACTGACTCAATGGACATGGGTTTGGGTGGACTCTGGGAGTTGGTGATGGACAGGGAGGCCTAGCGTGCTGCGGTTCATGGGGTTGCAAAGAGTCAGACACAACTGAGCGACTGAACTGAACTGAACTGAACCTTGTTATCTTTTATCTTTTAACTGCCTTTTAACCCCTCTGATGCCCATCACTATGTGTAGTGTCTTGTGGAGAATAAGAGCTTAATACCTTGCACTGACCCTGCTGCTGTAGCATCACTAGAATGTTATCCTCAGCTTCAAACACACATCACTGACTCACCTCTCTTCACCTTAGAGCAAAATTCCAGAAATGTAAGAATCTTAGATGGAGAAAGGATTAAGAGGAGGAAAGAGGACAGGTATTTATTGGTTACCTTCTGTATACAAAGTAACAGTCTTTGTTAGTGTATAAACATCTTCTCCTGCAGAGGAAGAGTAACATATTGGAGTGAATTGATTTAGACAGGATAACAAATGTGGGTGTCACTGCTTAGAACTAGAGTCCATAAACTTCTGACTCTAACTGAAAAACAGCTAGTGTCAAGGTGAGTTTGGATGGATCTTAACTCAGCCAGATACTCATTAATGAGAATGATGGTGAAAGGGTTGGGGATGTAAGTTGGCCTCAGTAAGAAAACCCTTGTAAATTTAATGAGAGCTCAGGAGAGATTTCTATCTTGTAAGCTTCACGGTGTTCTGGCTTTAGGTTAAGCCACAAAGCACCTTGATAACTCTAATATAAAAGCTTAGGGCACTTGGGGTTCTCTGGAGTAAGTCAACTTCCAAAACATGTTTGACAAAACTGGTCTAAATGCAGACATCACCCTGTGAGTAAGAAAAAGACTTTGCTCATCACCCCCTTTCACAATGGGAAAAGTGAGGTATAAACCATTACAGCGACTTGCCAATTGTTCCACGACACATCACTGGGCCTCTGTCCTAGCAGGTTAGTCTGGTGCTCATCCTAGAGTGAAAATGGTCACTAGCCACTTCATGGCTAGCAACCACCATTCATATATCACATATACTAGTGGCAACTTTTAAGAAAATTGGGCAACACAAATAGAAGGGGTCACCTGCTCCAAGGAACTTCATCAAGATGGACACACAGTTCATTAAGCTCCAGTGCTATTGATATAGAGCCATGGTTCATCAAAGCAAAGGTTGACACCCAGTTTAAGTGCTAGCTCATAGAATAAAGGCTGCCGTGTCATGGCTCCAGTTTACAAGGCTCAGACCCAATGCCAATAAAAGTTCTTCCTGATTCTGGTCTCTGTGTCACTAATTAGGGATTACAATCAACTGCTTCTGTTTCTCATGCAGGGCATCGAGCATCATGGAACAACTCAGAAGAACAAAAAGTAGCATCGGGCTGTTGCTATGGAGACCTAAGAACCATCTGAATTGCTGTGGCATCATAAAAGCAAAATCCCAATCATCAGTCTTTAACTATAGGGCTGTTGAAATCTATCTCATATTTTTAGAATGTGTGACATTTAACACACTGATGAATATTTCCAGCTTCAGAATATATTCTTTGCTTTCACATTTAGACGGGAGTTTTCAGTGCAACTGGTTGGATATTTTTTTTTCCTCCTGGTAAATGCTCCATCTCCTTATGCATGACTGCAGCTCTTTGTATACTTAACTTCCTAGATGTTGCTTCATTCTTCCTTCCTATTTTCTCTTTATTCTATAATTAAAATTATTCTCACTGGCTGTGGATCTCTTCTTCCATCAGGATATCTTTAGTTACATGTTTCATATCCCTAGTTGAAACATCATTCAGGCCTTAATCCCCACTGGTCCTAACTGATCACCGTTTAAGCCTTCATTGCTAATAATTAACTGTTCTGAGCCCCAGTCAAAGGTGCATAACTGCTTACCTGGTGATTCTTTATCTTTGAAGTTACTATCCCCTTATCATCCAAGGTGATCCAAACTTACTGACATTTCCAGGTTTTGTATAAAAAGCCTTCAGGGATTTGGACAAATAGGTATGTCATTTCTACTTTTATCTCTGTGAGAATTGCTAAAAGGATTTGGTTTAACTCTATGCACCATTCTGGGGATACACAAACACACACACACACACACACACACACACACACACATGTTGTTTTCCTTATTTGAATGATGTTGAAAGAGACTGATCAGCTGTTAAAAATAGCAACCCTAACAACTTGTTGGTGTGAAAGAAAAAGAAAATTTTGATTATTCAGTCTGAAAACACAAATTCTGTTCAAAGGTACTGAATACAAGGTTTTGTGAAACAAGTCTCCTCCACAATCTTGTTCATCCAGACTGGCCTCTTCAAACCTTCTGGTTTAGGTAAGAGCCTTCTCCTTTGAACCTCTTTCCTTAAGAGAGTTTCAGGATCTCTCCAGGCTTATTTATTTTTTCCCACTCTCTAAACCTCTTCAAAGAAGTGCCTTCTTGTTCTCTCCAGTGTCAGACAGTAAACTCAAGCACACTAGTGGGCACGGACAGCATTACCAATGTATGACTTTTAGTCTGTGAATTTCCAGGGTCTGACATCTCTGCCTCTATATAACTGAATTTAAAAACATAATGAATGAATTTCTTGAAGAAGCTTTCAAGTATTTTTGAGTCAACATCTTCTTCTAGAGGTCGACCAGAATCTACCAGAGGATGATATATTTATTTGCTATTACAGCTCTAATCACCCCCAATGGGCTTCAGCGTCAGGACTGTGTACACAACAATGTGCACCAAATATATTTGCACAGAGAGTCATGCCCAAAAGACATAAAGAATAACAGCCTGTGTTTGCTGACTTCAACATCAAGGATTGCACTGTTATCCTTGTCAATATCTAGGTCAAGTTAAATACTCTGTTCAGAAATTCCACTCTAGGCCAACCATGGCTAATTTTGTTTTATGTCTGAATGGGATTTCTGGCAATCACAGAATATTAAAGAACATGCTTTTACTTCAGATGATTTTTAAACACATTTTGATTGCTTGTAAACCTATAAACCAAAAAACTCTACCTTGCTTCTTCCTGATAGGTTGCCTCTTAATCAATTAATCCACCAAGAATCACGCACCCAGGGATGTGCCTTGCTTTGAGAGTTGTGCTATGGCAATGGGGCAGCCTTTGGTGACACTTGTAAGTATTCTTCCCTCTCCCCAGCTCCTGGCAACTACTAATCTGTGATCTGTCTCTACAGATTCACCTATTCTGTCATTCATATAAATGGAATCACATAAAATGTGACCTTCTGTGTATGGCTCCTTTAACTCAGTACAATGTTTTTGGGGATCATCTGTGTTGTAGCCTGTATCAATACCTTATTCCTTTTTATCACTGAATGATATTCATCAGGTTATTTGTTTATGCAATCAGCAGTTGATGGGTATCTTGAGTTGTTTCCACTTTCTGGCTATTGGAATAATGTTTCTCTGAATGTGTGTGTGCATGTATTTGTTTGAGTCCCTGCTTTCAGTTCTTGGGGTCTAAACCTGGGAGGGGAATTGCTGGGTCACATGATAATTCTATATTTAACTATATAAGGAAATACCAAATTGTTTTCTACAGTAGTTGCACCAACGTCTGGATTTAAGCTGAGAGCCTGATTTAATCTGAGAGCCCGATTTAATCTGAGAGCCTGAAAAGATTGGATGTAGGTGTCTAAAGCCACTTTCTGCCTTTCTTATCCCCCAGCAGGTGACCAGGCATGAGAACCAGCTGTATTCACTTCCTTATGGGAGAGACAAGTTTTACCTTCCCCAATAAAACAGGCATTGTCGGCAGAAAGCATGACAGGTCAAAAGGAGAAATAGAAGAGGTTGATAAAAACAGGCAAAGCAAATCAAGATCTTAAAGAATGGCCTTTCCACTACATCTAGGAATCATCCTAAAGAAGTTGTCTTAAGATGGCATAACTATTTATAGAAAAGGAACTCATGACAGAATTATTTTCATAGTGAAACTTAAATACCCAATCTGCAAGACAATTTAATCCTATTGAGATACATCCAATTGTATTTTTAACCACATTTTGTCTGTGAAAGTCTTCACAATAGAATACTAATTGGAGAAACAGTTAATTACACCACTATATATTATGATGTCAAGTTAGAAAAGTGAGGTTATATAGTTATACACAAACATCCATGTGTGTGTGTATGTAGTGTGCATGCATGAAAAACAGAAGGAAATATGCCATATCTTTACAATGTGATCCCCTGTGATTATTATTTTCATTTTTATATTTGTCTCCATTTCCCAAACAATCTGAGAGTAAAAGAAACATGCAACAACAAACCACTGGTGAGATACCAGGATAGTCACCTGTTTCTTCATTAGTTCACCCAGCTATACATTCCTATATTCACTCATCAACCTCATACCAAGTCCTTTCTTCACACCACTGGGTTAAGCACTGAGGAGGCTGGTGGTAAAGAGGCGGTGGGGGGGGTGCATTTTTGAGAACTTTTAATTTCTGAAATGTCAAGACCATGAAATTGATTAAAAACCTTGCATTTCATGACCCCCCCCCCTTTCTTAGCTTTCCGAATAAAATTCAAAACCTTCCTTTGTCCTTAAAAAATATTATCCTTTATATTTCAAATGTCCTTTGAAAAAATGCCTCATCTGGTTTCGTAAAGACCATTGGATGAAAATTATGAATCACATCCTGGTTTTGAGGAGGAATGCCCCCTACGCCACTTCAGACTGGTCAAAGCATTAAGTAATCATCTCTCTGCTTATTTTCCCTTCTTTCCTTAAAAATTAAATAGCAATTCTTATTCTCAGGGCAGGTTTAAATAGAACAATGAGAGCTATTATTAGTAGTATATGTTATTTCTTTCTTCTAGAATGTCAAAAATAATCTACCATATTCCCCTGACAATCCTTTTTATGGAGTCTTAATGTCCTAATTTTTATTTTTGCTTGAGTGGAAACACCCAGAGGCTATTTCTTATTATAATCCAGTAAATTAGAAATGGAACAAGAACTAGAAACAAAATCTCTAAAATCTGGCTCACTATTTCAGGGAAATTTTAAAAGAAAAACATACCTGAGAGAAGCATACCTGCGTGTGAGAGTAAATCTTTCTCACAAAAGTAAAATGTCTCCCCTGTGTTTCTTTGCATTAAAAATCAGTTGCTATCAGGAAATAACAGAGACACGCAGGGCTGCAGTTATAGACTGAAAACTACCTGCAAAAATTATTTCCCTAAGGTTCCCCCAATTATTCCGTTCTTGCCTCAGATAATAAATAAACTTGCTCAGTTTTGAACATCAAGTCTGACTCTTTGCGCTGAGAGATCTCCAGGTGTCCCTGCTACAGGAAGAGTCAAGCTGGGTCCAATCAATTCTTCACATGATTGCCAGGCAAGGAGGTGGTAAACTCACAGCAGAAAAGACCAGAGGGAAACTGGCTCCTTCTCTGAGGCTGTATACCATTAGGAAATTAATAGTTGCAAGTTGGAGTAGGTCCATCCAAGCCTTCAGCATATGCACAGCCCAGGAGAGGTTCACAGAGGAAGTGAACATCCTCTTCCATGGTACACACCACCATAGTTTCTTGTATCACACTGAACATACACAAACAAAGATTCTGAATCAAGTAATTTTTTTTTTAACCACTTGACAACACTGAAATGTTTCATGTAATGTATTCAGAAACCAGTGATTGTGTCTCTTTACTAGCTTGTTGTGAAAGATCAGTAGGAGTAGAGATTCAGTAAAGATTTTCTCAGGGAAGGCAAATCAGTAACAACTGCCAGGAACTGCAAAAGCATATACTGTTGTTTAGTCGCCAAATTGTGTCCAACTTGTTTATAACCCCATAGACTATAGCCCACCGGGCTCCTCTGTCCATGGGATTTCCCAGGCAAGAGTACTGGAGTGGGTTGCCATTTCCTTCTCCAGAGGATCTTCCCAACCCAGGGATCAAACTCACATCTTCTGCACTAACAGGCAGAGTCTTTATCACTGAGCCACCAGGGAAGCAAAAGCATATTCTAACTCCCATCTGAAAATATTTCCAATATAACTACACACACACACACACACACACACACACACACACACACACACACACACAGAGTCACAGGGGAATGTGGCAGGTAGCTCATTAGTAGAAACTGGTGATGTCTGGGGTTGATTGGGACCCAATCAGAAATTAAGATCAGGTCAACTGTGAGCTACTCAGACTTGACCTACTCTCCAAGGATCAATCCCAGAGTGTCTCTGAAGAATGACCTTCAGCCATAGACCCAATAGTTCAACCTGCAAAAGTTGCAGAGATATTGAAAATTTAAAAAATATATCTATTAGCAAATGGCTCTGGGGGCACATGAAGAACATGAAAGATTCAAATCAAAGGCTAAAATTCAATTTAAGTCAAAATCTGAAGGCTTCACTTTTATGAAAAAGAAAAGCACAAACTAAAACAGTATTTCCTATGTGTATCACAGATACAGAGAGACATCCACCTCAGTGGAGTTGATTACAGGGTGTGCATCACAGCAGAGTCTACAGGGCACTTACATTTATCTGGTATTTGATTAGAAATGACTTTCTTAATGTAAACTGATGAACTGCAGAAATCTCTCAATAAATGTTAACTATTATTGTGATTACCAGTGCTAACTGTGATAACTTTGTTGTGGTTCAGTCACTAAATCCTGTCCAACTCATTGTGACCCCATGGACTACAGCACTCCAGGCTTCCCTGTCCTTCACCACTTCTGGAGTTTACTCAAACTCATATCCATTGAGTCAATAATGCCATCCAACCATCTCATCCTCTGTCGCCCCCTTCTCCTCCTGCCCCCTCAATCTTTCCCAGCCTCAGGGTCTTTTCCAATGAGTCAGCTCTTTGCATCAGATGGCCAACGTATTGGAGCTTCAACTTCAGCATCAGTCCTTCCAATGTATATTCAGGGTTGATTTCCTTTAGGATCTACAGGTTTGATCTCCTTGCCATCCAAAGGACTCTCAAGAGTCTTCTACAGCACCACAGTTCAAAAGCATCAATTCTTTGGTATTCAGTCTTCACAGAAAGCTAACCAAAATGATCACATGGATCACAGCCCTGTGTAACTCAATGAAGCTATGAGCCATGCCATGCAGGGCCACCCAAGATGGATGGTCATGATGGAGAATTCTGACAAAATGTGATAACTTAAAATCAAATATAAAGTGATTTACCCCATCTCTGTGCCCATCCTTAGTTGTCTAAATGGGATGGGCAAAGCTTTTGTCTGGGAGAAGGATACTGTTAAAAGGAAGGCAAGGCCAGGTAGAAGGCAGGCAACTCCATCTAGGATGGGTGAAGGTATTTGCAGCAGTTTGCCAGCCCAATCGCCATGAACTGGAGACTAACTGGGAGAATCCTAGAATTGCTACTGTGTGTGCTAAGTTTCTTCAGTTGTGTCTAACTCTTTGTGACCCTATGGACTGTAGGTCACCAGACTCCTTTGTCCATAGGATTCTCCAGGCAAGAATACTGGAATGGGTTGCCATGCCCTCCTCCAGGGGATCTTCCTGACCAAGGGATTGAATCCACATGTCTTGTGTCTCCTGCACTGGCAGGCAGGTTCTTTACCACTAGTGCCACCTGGGAATTGCCACTGTGCTGTGCTTAGTCACTCAGTTTTGTCCAACTCTTTGTGACCCTATGGACGGTAGCCAGCCATGCTCCTCTGTCCATGGGAATTCTCCAGGGAAGCATACTGAAGTGGGTTGTCATGCCTTCCTCCAGGGGATCTTCCCAACCCAGAGATCAAACCCAGGTCTCCCTCATTATGGGAAGATTCTTTACCATCTGAGCCACCAGGGAAGCCCAAGAATGCTGGAGTGGGTAGCCTATCCCTTCGCCAGGGGAACTTCCTGACTCAGGAATCGAACCAGGGTCTCCTGCATTTGCAGGCAGATTCTTTACCAGCTGAGCTACCAGAGAAGCCACCTGAGAATTGCCCTTACTGCTAAGTCACTTCAGTCGTGTCCGACTCTGTGCAACCCCATCCCTGGGATTCTCCAGGCAAGAACACCAGAGTGGGTTGCCATTTCCTTCTCCAATGCATAAGAGTGAAAAGTGAAAGTGAAGTCGCTCAGCCATGTCCGACTCTTCGCGACCCCATGGACTGCAGCCTACTAGGCTCCTCCATCCATGGGATTCTCCAGGCAAGAGTACTGGAGTGGGGTGCCATAGACTTCTACTATCCTTCAAGTCTCAGCCAGTCACAACACCCAGAATTGTCCCTATAGATATTTGTTATCCCAGAAACCTGCCACCAGGTGGCGCCGCAACAAGGTTGTACCCAAAAGACCAACCCAGAACCTCACTTGTTCACTCTGCGCATGCATGCTCAGTCATTTCTGACTCTTTGTGACCCCATGGACTGTAGCCTACCAGGCTCCTCTGTCCCTGGGATTTTCCAGGCAGGAATACTGGAGTGGGTTGCCATTTCCTCCTCCAGGAGATCTTCCCAACCCAGGGATTGAACTCGCCTCTCCTGAGTCTCCTGCATTGGTAGGCAGTTTCTTCACCACTGAGCCATCTGGGGAGCCTCACTCATTCATCAGCCTCACAATTAAGAAACTTTGTATTTGATAGAACCAACACACTGGAACTCCCATTTATTGTATTATGGTTCTTGTGTAATGATAACTTTTAAGGGTGAAGGAGACTCTAAAATAATGTTGGAGCAAAAGACATAAACCAAAACCATTCTTGGCAAATAGGTTATATGTCACTCTAGTTATAGCAAGATTTACACTATATTATTACTAAAACTACTACTACTATTTTATGCCATAAGATTGCTTCGAAGTATTTGCTACGTATGTATACACACACATACACATAAACGTCATATTAAAATGTCAACTTCATGCTAAAGCCTGAGTGTCTACAGATTATTAATCCTGGAAAGCAAGAACATTGCATCCTCAAGCTTGAGAAACAAATATCCCCAAACCATGCTAAAGAGACAGAAAAGTCCTACTTCTTCACTACCCACTGCATGCCATGCCAGCTTGACCTTTTTGCTGGTATTTCTGATATTGGGCTCTTAGGGGAGTAAGGAGTCTACAGGACAGACCAGGCCAATTTAGGTGGCTTCCTCACCTTCACCTTCATCCAGCAAAGCAGCTCCTATCAGGAAATGTGCCTGAACAGTGTCCTGGAATTGCTAAGCATTCACAGTACATTCCCAAACTTAACAGTTGAGATGGTGACACAACAGGAAGATCCCAGTGGGGATTGGCTGCCTGGACACATAGAATATCCTTTCTTTGGGATCTCCAGGAATAACAGAGGAGCAGACCTCTACAAGAACAGAATAGACTCTTCAGAGTCTCAGGGAGAGGGAGATGTGGGTATTCATGTTAGATGACCTCATGTGGACCAGCACATGGGGGAGACCTGAGATGTTGAGGTAACTGCCGTGCAATGTCCACGAAACAGTGGAACCTGAATCAGTCAAAACAAGTAGGTCATCAGGTCTCAGAAGGGCCAGGGGTACTCTGGAAGCCCTCTTGTCACGCAAGGTAAGAGCAAAGTGGATGAAGGACCCTATATCACTCTAATAAGCTTGAGCAAAGGGCAGAGGAGACACCCCAGGCTCTGGTGACCCAGGGATGGGACAGTGAGGAAGTGAGGATGCTGACAGGCATCAGTTTCTCAGGGGATTTTATTGACAGCCCAAACCCTTTCTTGGTTTCCTCCTGTTACCCCCTTTATCCTCCTTTCTGATTGATCCTCATTTTATCTTATCACAGGTAGGTTTTATTGACTAGATAGGCAATTCAGCATTACTCTGGGATCTCACTGACATAATATGTACTGATGCTTTCTCCTCTTTCTACTGTTCATATAGTCTTTCTTTCCTTTTGCTTCATTTTTAAAATTTTTAAATTTAAATGTTTATTGCAATGCCTATACATTTTCATATAAATTAAATACTCAACTACTTGAATATTTGATATAGTAGAAGTTGACAACTGATACAATTTTCTCATTTTCCATCTCAAAATTGGGTAGGAATGAGCTTTCTAGGTGGCGCTAGTGATAAAGAACCTGCCTGTCAATGCAAGTGACTTAAGAGATGCGGGTTCAGTCTCTGGGTTGGGAAGATCTCCTGGAGAAGGAAATGGCAACCCACTCCAGTGTTCTTGCCTGGAAAATCCCATGGAAAGAGGAACATGGTGGGCTACAGACCATAGGGTTTCAGAGTCAGACACAACTGAAGTGACTTAGCATGCAGCACACATGGGTTGTCTGAATCTAAGCCTAATTATTGCACAGGCCATCTTCCTATAGTTAACAGAGAATGTTTCTGCAAGTCACACTTGTGAGAGGGGGAAGCCAATAAACTATTGACAACACTAGATTCTAGAAAGTGTCTAGATCCTAGAAAGTAAGCAGTTATTATGTTAATTAGTAATAACAGTGTTCAAGTGGCCCTCGTTACTCTCTAATAAACATATAAATCAGATAGGAATTCAGCTACATTTACTTTTTTTCCCCTCTAGTCCTGATCATTCGATTTTTGAATCAGTAAGCACTTTCCATGGACCCATGGGTGTCACCTGCCTTGTTTGCATCTTGTCATTAGGCTCTGTGCCATCATCATTGGACGTTTTTGCAATTTTCCATTTTTTCATCTTTGCACTTATTGATAGTAGACATGGATTGAATAATTATTTTGTAGAAAATGGAAAATATATGAAAACAACCTAAGTGTCCATCAATGGATGAATGGATAAAGAAGATATGGTATGTATATACAATGGACTATTACTCAGACATGGAAAAGGAAGGAACTCAGACAGT